CAGGAGTGTTTTCATTGGATGAAACCCCTGAGCACAATATTAGTACATCCATCAAAACGACTTCAGGCGCCGACATGGAGGCAGCTCAAGGCCACACACTCCACGTGTTCCGTTGGAGCTACCGCCGTCAACAAAACGACACGATCCACCTCGGCAGCGATTGAGAAACTAGTGCGCCAATAGACTTCGCCCTAGACACCTACCGCCCAAAAACTCCGCGATCCGAACGCCGGTGAAGGCATGTCGAGAGTGTAAGAAGGCTCACGCGTGTATCATAGTATCAATCCAAACACGCACAAACCAAAGATTGTGTATATACCCTTTGCATCTATGCGTAACACGGCGTCTACGCTTTATGAAGGAGCAGGATTGCTCTCTTTCGTCTCTTTCGCGAAACAACTTCGTGACTTAAGCTATCGCAGATTTGTTCGATAACAGAGCTCCCTACGGCAAACTACTGTGCCACTTCTTCGGGGTTGGGTTGGTCGTAAGGTTTTCATATGCCGGTTCGCCTCGATAAAGCTTTTGATTTTTTCCATCAAATAACGCCATTATGTAAAATTCCGCTTTTCTAATTTGCAAGATAAACCACAATGGTGGATTTGGCGATAGGGAATACTTTGGAGGGCAGGATTGCCGAGCCACCACAATTTTCATGCAGTCGAGACGTCCACACTGGGAAATCCAAACGACGCGGGCAGTAAATGCATCTTGGATCCCCACGAATGCAACGCACTCCAAGGCGGATTAATCGTTGGGGCTGACACGTAGGAACGGTGCGTCGATGGACATTGTGGTTGCTGTAGCTGGGCCATCGCGTTCACGATCGCAATTTCCAGAACATGACAGGTAGTATCTCCTGCAGCCGCCCCTGATTCGTTCAATAGGGATTTTACCCCGTCTAGGGCAATCCGCGGAATCGGTTCAATGGAGGCATGGTTTTGCTTCATTTTTCGGTACACTTTATATGCCATAGAAACGAACAAATTCTATTTACGTGACCGTCTCTGATTTCGAGCGGCATATCAAATTTCAAGTCAACATGACAAACAATGCGATAAGCAACCATCGGATTCGCCAAGTCTCTTGGAGTAGAGCTGCTCAAACTGGGAATACCTTAACGCTCGCTTGCCGGTGTACCGAGCCGCGCCTTGTTGAATGTTTTGAGCCATGAGCTTCTTTATCTTAGCATGCATGTTACGATTTCGAGTGCAAAACTCATAAACCTGACAACCCGAGTACTCCGAGTCTGCTGGGAAGATGATACTGTATTCATCTTCCCATCTGTCATAGTAATGACTTCAACGAACTTCGAAGCATTTCCAATCCACTCTTCATAGTCGGCAAAACAGTTCACGACTTGCAAAATTGATATAATATTTTCATATCACATTAACAATCTATAATCCCAGTAGTAAATTATGTTGTCTTAAGCTTGATCTAACGATATTACGGTTTGATCTACTAAAAAATCAATTTAAACTTGGAATTGGTGTACAAGCACAAGGCAAATACTGTTCAGATAGTCGAAAAATGGACTTTTCCGACTGACAATTCTCTGATTGATAGGACTCATCCGTGTCACGTTTTTCGTCGTCCTGTGATCCTCGGTTGAAGGAAGCGCAGCACCTCGTTGTTTCTACACGAGCGTCGGGAGTTTAACGGATACGTGGTTGAGCAATGGAGCAACACCAGGGATCACGATGGATGAGAATCCTAGGAATATAAGGGGTTCGCTTTTGCAATAACTTGAATGCGAAAACCCGAAGATGTTAATCGGCCCACTCAAGGTACAGTACCAAGTACGGAATCGCGCCCCAAGGGTAAAGAGAACAAGGGATTCTGTCGTTCGCACGGTGGGGAACGGAACAGATTACATCTTAACCTTATTCGCCTGCAAATATTAGTAAGGTCGAACCCTTTACATTCGTGGACAAAGTTCATCTAGAGGCTCAGCTGCTACATGCATGCGCTTAGGTGAAAATCATGTGCGAAACACCTCAAGAAAAGCTTGTTTGTTTTAAAATCGTTTGCTTGGTCACCGCCTTCAATAATCCACTGCAACTGTTCGTTTTTTCCTGCTCATATTGCCAAATTGAAAAGTTGAGTATAATCTTTCAAAACCGCGAAATTGATGTGCAGTGTTATCAAGCCAATTCAACCGTGGTATGATGTTAGTCCTCAACCATTTTTAGCCAATCACATTTCAACCTCATGTCGGTTCTCCAATCTCTTGTAGAGAATTTGCCTTTTCATGCCGTTGTATCCTGCTATGTAATCGATATAGATGGATAAAAGCATCTTTGCCATCCAAGCACATTTGATGTTCCCATCCAAAATTGTGACACAATAAGAACTTCCAACCGACTCTTCCTTAAGTTCCTTGAGGAGAGTCTTACTGAGTTCGGTCCAGGAGCTTCCGAAGCTGATGATGTTACCAAATACCCTCACCCAATCATGGACAAAATCATCGAGGAGAGCAGGTCACAAGTATTTCGAGTGCTGATGAACTTCAGCCCAAATGAATTTGTAACCATTTGGTCTGTCATCAAGTCTTCTCTATCATCCTGGTGGAACTTCGGGCAAGGACGCAAGTCAACGATAACCACAAAGGATGCCTTCTCTATTCCTTTGGTCATCCTTATGCACTACCTGAGACTTCGGCATGACAGCACCGACGTTCCTGAAGATGGTCATGCTGACCATCGATACAGTCCAACCAGTCGTTTATGAGCGCATTGTGCCCATGCTCACTATGATTCAGCTGCACAGCAAGGCCTGCCTTATCCGAAACACCCATATGCAAAGTACGCCACAGACGTGAAGTTCCAGCCCACGAATCGGCCAGCCTGGCGTTTCTACTCACTAATTTAGAAGTAAGCACAAACTTTATGGACTTAAGGCATCGGTCTCACCTGAAGATCTGCTGGTGGACAAAAAAGCACGCGAACCAGGATCGGTGACTGACATCACCATGTTCCGGGACAACAACTACATCCATGGAGCCGCCCTGCTCAAGGACACAACTGACAGTTCCCGACAGCATCGAATGACTTCGCCAAATCATTATCGAATTAGAGAAATATACAAATAGCAAGTGTAACATAACTTTGAGAATTTATCTTCATAAAGTCATTAAGTGTTCGAAGGTTTGATATCAAAGAGGACACATCAAAGCTCACTGTCACTTCCTCTTCGTTATCACTGCAGGATCGAGCTGATGATTCCTCGTCGGAATCTAAAGCATCAATTGCCACCATATGATCGTTCCAAACACCACGAACGACAGCAATGTTGCGTCCGAGTGCTTCGGACACTCGCTTGGAGCAGTTAGACTCGCCCTGGCTCTTGTAGAATGCAAGTAAGCGCAAAATGACCAAACGCTCCTCCCGTACAGTATGAGCGCACGAGGACGCGCCATCTTCACGAACTCCATGCAAGTCTGTGCATTGGTAGCCATTGCGATGAAGTGCAAATGAAATGGACGACAGCCCTTCTTGTGAAACTACTGCTATGACACCACTACA